GCAGTCTTTGGTGTGAGATGCAGCTCACTTGAGGCTTCGTGCTTTGATCAAAGAACCCCCGAAGTCTCCGGCTCCAGCCTCAAAATGGCAGTGTGACGCCACACGCAATCATGCTCGCCTCCTGCGCCTGAGGTGTCTGTCGAATGTCCGAGCCTATGCGAGGGGTGGGGCTGTCTTTGTTTGTGGGCGCCGGGTCGACAAGGTCAGACCACAGCGGAGGCGCTGGCTCCTTTGGATGACCTGGAAGCCGAATCCGAGCTCGCGCGAGACTTGAGGTGGAAATTTTGTCAAGACCAGTTGGACCACCCGACTGGTTGGCATCACATCGTGTGGTTTGAAGATTGAGAAGACTTAAGAAGGGTCTCTGGTTGAGATGCGTGTCCGTGTGTGATGCCAAGGTCGCACAAGCCCTTTGTGATCACTCGATGCAGGAGCGGATCGTTGAGACTACCTTGCGTTGCAGTTGTGAGAAAAGACGGGCAAAGCTGAGAAATGAATTGGGCGATTGTATTGCGCAGTGCCCTGCAGGAGGAGCGAGCCTCGCCCTCACATTTTCAAACGAAGCTTGCTGGGCTCTCTCAGCTTGCCATTTCGTGCGTTGAGGTCTTCGGAGCGCGGTTCGGAGAGCCAGCGCCCGAGCACATGGACTGCGCGCCCCCGACCAGCGGCGGCGGTGCCAGCGGTGGCGGTGCCAGCGGTGGTGGTGCCAGCGGCGACGGTGCCAGCGGCGGCGTTGCCAGCGGCGGCGTCGCCAGCGGGGGCTTTGCGCTGTGCTCCGTGTGGAAGGCCAGGGCCACTTGTTGAACATGTTGAAACCACTTGCTCTTTCGGGAATTTGGTTGCCCTTCAAACGTGCCCATGGCACCCGGTTTGTTTTTTAAATATATTTTGCTTCACGGGGAACACCTCGTGGGTCGCCGTACAAGATTAGGAGCTGCCCGCCGTCCCGGCAGACTGGGGCGAGGCTGGGAGTTTTGATCCGTGGCATGAGCTCGCAGTCTCGTGTGCCAAGAGGGGGCAAGGGGGCCCTTGGTATTTTGGAACCGTTGGCAACCCCCCTGGGACGTCAAACGATTGTCCTTTCCTGAAGTGGATGGTCTATGATTTTAGGACCTGATCAAGCAACAACTCATTCACTTGTGTCTTCAAACAAGTCGAACGCGGCAACTGCAACTTCAAGCCGTTGTTGCATAAACATGTCGTGAGGTTCGCCAGTTTGAGACTCCGGTCCCAGTTTCCAAAGGTTCATCCCCCGTTCTGTTCAACTGTTCTACCACTCAAATGCTTTGCGGGTTAGGCTATTTGTTTGAAAATACACAAATTTTGAGCCTAGTTACTAGTTTTGTCGGGTTTTGGCAGAATTTGGCAGATGGGGAATGCCAAGTTTGCTGTTGGAGACCTCGGTGTCAGTTCGTGTCGCCTTTTCAAGGGAAGACCGCAAACAGGGTCACCGTTCTGTCAACCTGCATACAAGCCGCCCCTCGAACGCCGGCGCTCGGTGTCCGTGCGCGAGGATGCTGAGAAGTTTGCCTCGAAGCCGAGGGAACGCTGCTGGCCGCTTGGCAGTGGATTGGCAGTGGATCTGTCGACATAGTGTGGTTGCGAAATTCGCTCCCACCACTTTGAAACCATAGGAAGGCATTGTTTGTCGGTATGTACAGGGGGATCATCATTGCAGGGTTTCTTAGTTTCGTCCATCCATAGTAGTGAGCTCCTTGATGGTGACGAAAGAACCAGGCGGGTCTGAAATTTGTATAGAACCACCCGGCAGACTGCGTGGCCTTGTCGGACTCAAGCTGAGGCAGATGCACGAGTTCTCTCGAAGTCAGCCCGCCCAAGCTTGTGAGACAAAATACCAGCTCAAAAGAAAGCACACAGCTCCTGTTCTCCCTTGAAAGAGCAGCTCCGGAAAGAAAGCAGCGACTCTGACCTCAACTCGGCCATTTGGCCATCCGGGTCCAAAAAGAACCGAGTTTCCTGGGAGGCACCCGAAAACCCGAACACGTCCCACGTGGGTAAGGGTTATGTCGACTCGCCAGGCCGCATGACCTGGGACCTGCTGGGCTTGCTGCTACTGCTGCGCCGCGGTAGATGAGTTGCCAGCGACCTTTTTCTGCTTCGCATGGAACCTGAGGTTTGGGACCCCGAAAGGTCAGGTTGCATGTGTCAATTGGTGGGAGGGTGGAAGCCCGCGATGTGGTTGACGCAGAGCTGTGTAAGCAACAGTCAACATCATTGATTATAGTGAGGTTCAATCACCAAATTACCAGCTAGAGTCCTAATCACACCCTCAAGATTATGAGATTTAGGCTAAAGCAGGGGCCCAAAAAAGGAGATTCGTCAAGAGGCTGTGTGGGTGTGTCTTCTTTTGAGGATACCCCTTTTCGTTGGCGTTAAAAGGAACTAACAGGGAACCCACCATGCTTGGGGGGTTCCCCTAGCACATATTCAGGAAGCACGCCCAATGCCAAGCCATATCCGCATTTTGTGGGAGAAGGGTCCCGGAAATGGTTGGGGTGGTGAGCCAACATGGCCTCCTTGAAAGAGGAAGTGAGAATCACCCTCAAAGGAGGACACTACCATTTGGGGGTCCCTATTTTAAGACGTATACAGAGTATCCGTCGGTGACTCGGGCGAAAGAGGAAGTCAGACTCGTGAAATGAGGGGTTTGTGGTTGCACTTGCAATATTTGGGGAATCTCCACAGTTGCTCAGCCTTTCTTGCTTTCGAGCTTTTCCAAAGTGTCAAATGGGTCTCGTGTGTCTTTAACCGGGGTTGTTTTCGAAGGAACCCTCCCGGAAAACCACCACCATCAGATGGGGAAGGGCAAAGGTTCCGACTTCCGCAAGCGCGAAGCCTGAGGTACGACGCCTTCGCGACGCCCTGGCAAGTCGCCTTTGGAGAACTGGCGCCGGCCGAGGTGCCGATGTCTTTTTTATCTTTCTTTTTTCCTCCCCCAGGGAGTTTACTTGGTGAATACGTGGGCGTCTGTCTTTTTTTTTTGTAACGAGCCCCAACATGACTAGTTTTTTTTTTTTGGGGGGGGGGATTTGGGGTTCTCCTTTACCACCAAACAGGGGGTGCCCTCAACAGACGCACCCGTGTCGCATGGAACCTGTCTCAGGTCCAAGCTCTGGTTGGACCCGAAGGTTAAGGGGTAGCTGGGCGTGGCACCCATCCCATTTGCCCCAAGCTGTGAAGATAGCTGTGAAGATAGGTGCGTGCTATGCCAAAGACAAAGGAATCTTTTCACAGAAGGAGTTTGACCATGGTGCAGGCTGTATGTCATCCGAAAAGAGACCATCCCCAAACGATTACTATTCTTTGGTTTCCTTGGTTGGGGACGCTGGGCCAGCCGTTTGGGGGGTTTTCTGCAAGCGACAAACCTTGCCATGTGTTGCTTTCAGAGGCAGAAGCGTGTGGCGCAGTGCGAGGGCTCAGTCGCGATTTGGGTTCTGCGACCGCGCCAGGTCATGGCTTGGCTGCTACCTGTGCCTGAGCCCTGGTTTGATCGGAGGCATTTGACCAGATTTCAATGGAGGCACTCCCACAAAATAGTCACAAAATGCTCTGGAAAACCACCCAGAAGGCCCCAACTGACGCCTCTTGTTGAGGGGCCCTTGGCGACCGAAACTCGGTGCCATTTCCGGCATGGGCTGGAGGTATTGGACGGCGAACATCATCCTCACGTGCTGCTTTACAACCTTCTCCTCCGGGGGAGCCGCGATCCCAGCACCCAAATGAGTTGCCGGTTGCTGGCTACAGGAATCTGGTGAGAACCACCACCCGCCCCAGGACGCTTTACCTCCCAAAAAGCTGCAACGTGCTTCTCTGCCAACATTTCGCGTGGCTCTCCCCGTGCGCGCCGGAGGTGTTGCAGACGAGGAAGAAGGCCATGTTCCTCAGATACGTGCCGCGTCTCAGTCGGGGAGAAATGAGAATGTTCGAAAAGGAGAGATAGGCGTGTCTTGCCGCAGGGGACCATCAAAAAGGGTTGCATTCCTTTTAGAAGCCAACAAGGACACTCGGATAGTCAAGAGAGAGAGAGAGAGAGAGAGAGCAACGGCCACCCAGTCCGAGGCCACGCAAAGCTTCTTGATGCTCGACTTGCTGACCACTGGTGCTCCTCTCAGATGTTTCCATTGCGCTTCTCATCTTTCCTTTAGCCTTCCTTCAAGCATGGATCAGGTTACGTGTGGATTGGTGGTTTGGGGATCTGAACCCCTGGGTCTTGTAGAGGGTAGATGGGAAACCCCTGATTAACCAGCAAACCACCAATCCAAACCCAATCAGAGGGAAGCTGATGGAGGGAAATGAGAGCTTAGGTCTGGATGCCGCTGTCCCAGAGCCGCGGACGCGAGTCACATGAGTTCCCATTCGGAAGTTGAGACCACAGCAAGGGATTTTACTCGGTCTAAAGGGATTGTTAGGGAGACATACTGTGGATGGACAAAATCCTGCACCAGCTGAGAAACCCTGGAACGACGAATCCCCTGTAAATACCAACAAACCATGGTCTCCCATGGATTCCAAGTGGTGCAGATTTCGTTCAGCCACAGTAGCAATGCCTCGCTAACATGTTAGTTCGAGCCAGACGTCAGCTTTGGGTTCTCACACGTGCCACGATCAGACAAGTTGTTACTTACAGTTTGTGTGGGGAGCAACTTTTTGGGGAAGGCAGACAGCTACAAGGGAGGTTGTTGATGATCTTTGCGCGCACAGATTCTGGTGCTGGCTGTGCGCTACGACCTGTCTCAGTCCACCTATCAAGTATTGCGCAGCTTTGTGCAGGACAAGGCAGGGTGGCTTTTGCAAACACGCAGGGAACGCTTGTGTTTGAGCATCCACATCTTAAACACCTTGGGCTGCTCTTGCCACGTTCAGGACATCTTCCTCGCCATTCAATCTGTGCGTTTGCTGCGAACGCTGCGTATCAACAGGCACAGAAGTTTGGCGGGAGAACAAAGAGAGATGCAAGCGGTGCGATCCTTGAGACACAAGGGCATCCAGGAAATTGACAGAATCCCTTTTGATGGGTCCCTTTCGTTCGGCCAGCGAAGGTACAAAGGCCGAAGGCTATGCCAAACTTGACCGCACGAGACTTTTGCTCTCGGCCAGGAATCTCCTGGGCGTCCGAGCGCGGGCTGGGTGCCATAAAGATTTCGCGCTGGAAGTTGAAGTCAGGCTTTCTCTACTGTCCGATCACCAGACTATGGGCCCCCCAGTCCTTTCAAGGAAGATCTACATTCGAACTTCGAGCCACAGCGAGATTAGAGCTGAGACATGTTTAAGTGGAGATTGTCCGAAGCCTTGTGGACGCTCATCCTGTCCCTTGCGTTCGGCAACAGTACCGGTTATCATCCATTTTCTTAGTTATTTCATTCATTTGTTTTCTTACAATGCCATCAAATGTTGCCTTCTTTTCAATCTCAGGACCAAGCATCACTTGCAGAAAGCATGGCCATTGCACAATCCGGGCATTGCGTTCCTGAGGTTCGTTCAGAAGCCTGGCGTGCCCTGGGCGGCTTGGCGCGGTCGCCCGGCTTTGGCTCTTGCGGAAGCAGATTTCTCATGCGTGCTATAAATATTCCGATAGGTGTGTTTGCAAAGAAGTGATGTCCTTTTTGGGTGGTGTTTATTAAAGGCAAAGGGGATAAAGGGAAACCATGGGAAACCATGGGAAACCACACGGAAACCAACGGTTTCTATCGTAAAATACTGGCCGCTACCTGGTCAGGTCAATCTGCAAAGCCCCCCCCCCTTCTGGGCGCATTTTGAACGATGCAGGCGGTGAGCTGTCTCCTGCTGCTGGTGGGTGCCGGAACCTCGATCCGGGATCCGGGATCCCAAAAAACGATTGGGGCAAATTGAGCGTGGCCATGGGGGGACTTGTTTATGGGAACCAACATGAATCAGTTTCCATCTTTGGTTGCATTCCCAGTTTTGACGCGGGATCGCTGCCTTGTGCAGTGCCCTAGGCGCACATCGTTGCCTGCGCTTTGTACTACCTGGGCTCGGCAAGTGGTGGCAATGCTGCCACATGGCTCCAGGCCCGGAAATTCCTGGAGGTTGATGCCCTTGAATTTGCTTTGAACGATGTCGAGTTCGTCGCCTTGAGCCCAGGACCAAGTCCAACTTTTCGGTTCTTGAGTGCTTGTTGGCTGTGAAATCAGCTAGCCGTTTGCGGCCTTGTGGAAGGGAAGCCAGTCCAACGAGTCGGCCGACAGGACTACGCACAAACCCAACAGCAGGAGGACAACGTCTCCATGCAGCTTGTCTCACCGTAGTGTGAACAAGGTTGTCAAAACCAGAGGACGCATTGTCTTCCAGTGGCTTGTCCGATGCCAACCGCTTTTCTGCAAGCGGGCTTGTGCATTTGGTCTTCGGGGCTTCGCTTTCAATTCTGGCTGCTGAGGTACTTCGCAGCCTTTTTGTGGGCCCGGAGCCCGGAGCCGTTGTGGTTTTCAGCCAAAGGGGTGTGTGTTTATCGTTGGGGAATACGTTCTGTTTTGGTTTAATTAGCCATGCTTAGCTTTCGACGTAAGACCTTTGTACGCGTCGACATGCTGGCTGATTCCCGTAGATGGAAGATGCATGCTCAAATTCCATATCACAGTCTTGGTGTCGGCTGCTCACCGGCGATAATTTTCTCTCATCCCCAGCCACTTGTTGTGTTTGTGATACAAGCCGTGCCCACTTCGAGCCAAGGCTTTGGCACAATTGACCCCGGGTCTGGGACCCAGCCCTGTGAATCCCAGGAGCGCCCTGCGTTCTCAATCGCTCGCAGCTTTTCGACGTCAATCTGCAGAGTTGAAACAGGATTTCCCGGAGTTGAAACGGGGTGTCTTGAAACGTTTCTTGCACGCTCACAAGATTACGGTGTCTGCTAGGATTCGGATCATTCACCTTCCAATATGACCTGGGGAGACAATGAGTATTGACCATCGTTCACATTGAGCATGAGCAACTGAAGCATAGCGGTAGTCCACTGTTGATTCTGTGAACGACGAGAAGTGCCCGACCCCCAAATTCCCTGCAAACATTCGGGACTCGGCCGGGGGGGGGAAACCAAAATTCCTCTATGTCCTCTCGGTTATCATATTGTTCGTGGTGCGCATGTCGCTTCAAATATGAAATTTGCTCGTGTTTTCAGATGGGACTGGTTATCAACATGACGTTTGGGGTCGGAGCAAAGTATCACCTCCAAAGGATGTTGGGAGTGCACAATTTGGCAGGAAAGAAAACAAGCAAAAACAAACACGTCGAGACCTGACACAGGAGCATGCAAGATCTGGTCTTCACCAGTGTGGTGCATGTGCGCGTCGATGGGTTTCCGACTTGTAGGGATTGGACATTTCTTTTGCATAGGGGAAGGGCCACGACCAACTCAGTCTCCAAAACCGACTTCCAAAGAGCAATGATAGTAAGTCCTCGTTAATTGGGGGAAGGGTTATTTCAAAAACTTAACCATTGAAGACGACACATAGAACAACCAATTGGGATCTGAAAATTGCCCTTCTGTCAGACAGGTACTTGCCCTCCTCTGTCTGCTTTGCATCCTGCTGCAAGTGGCAGGCTGGCTTTCCGCAAAAGCTCGCCGATCTTGTGACTGGTGGCTCGATTGTCCCAGTCAAGTTTGGATTCCAGTTCATAGATTAAAGGCCTACAGAGAAAGATGCTAGCAAATAATTTTGGTACCCAAGATGCCGGCGGGGGGGGGGGGGTGGGGGTTTGGTTCTGGGAGTGATGGAAAGCGAGAAGAGATGACCGTACAAAGAACGTGTCCAACCCTTTCCATCCGCTGTTTTTTGAGATGTGGTATGGCATTGTTTCTATGTCAACTCATCTCATGAAAGTAGGACATCACATTCTTTTCGCCAGAACCTGTGTCTGGGATGCCAGTGGGAATCCGCAGTCGACCTTTGAAGGTGTTGCCCTTCGACTGGAGCGCGGGAAGTTCCCGAGGCGACGCGTGCGAAGCCAAACCGGGGAGAAGGAGCCGGTGCGAAACACTCGAAAACCAGAACTGGCCATGGGTTGCATAACCTATGGCGATCCCGTTTTGGGAGTGGATGAACATCCATTTGCCACCTATTTTGATGTTCACCAGGGGTGCAGGGTTTTGACCCACAGCCAACTAGGGCTCCCTCCATTTCCTCTTTTTGGACCTTGAACAGTGGGAATTTCCAGTGGAAACCACCAGTAAACTGCAACTTTTGAAGAAGTGCTGGAAGGCACCAGGTGGCCTGCCGCGCCTATCTCTCCGAAGGCTTGGGCCATGTTTCGGGCTACATTGCCCTAGGAAAAACGTGGAATATGGCTATGGGTCAAAACCCCGGTTAGCCCCCAGTGAACATCCCAATCCCCACTAAAATAGACTAAAATGGGTGGTGCACTACCCCAAAGTGGTGCCATTGGTGTTGACCCACGGCCATATCATCCTCATGGCCTCATGGTTGCTCGTTTTGGGTTTTGATGCACCAGCATGCACTGTTTTCTCTTTGTGCAGTGGTTGATATGTCGACATATCCAACCGATGTGTCCTGAATGGGGCAAAACGCCTGGCGGGCAGCGGAGACCAGCTCTTGCAGTGTCGGTTTTTTCCGATTTTTCCACCGACGGGGCGAGTCGGCGAGCGGGAATCCGAGGACCGCGCCCAGCGAAAGACCTGCAGCAGCACATTTGGAGGCCGAGCCGGTCCAGGTTAGAAGCCTCGCCCTTGAGGCGTTGATTTCTGGTTTTGACAGCCCAAATGACCCAGATGCAGGCTGAGTCTTTGCATTTTTTTTACTTGGAGCACGGGCCAAGTGGTGCATGCTGTGCTTCCCCCCCCCCTTACCTGAACGAAGCCACGCGCCAGCTGGCTGGAGACGGAGCCGCGCGGCGTGCCACGGAGCTTCCGTGGCTGGCAAGGCGCGTCGAGTCGCATGGAGACGTGGCGAAACTCGACTGTGCCAGGCCCTCGCTGCCTGGAGGCGCGATTTTCTGGTTGGTGGCTCCCAGCCATCCGGAGCCCCCAAAAGCTTCTTAGCCTTTTAGTGACACATTTCAATTTTGGTGGGTTTAGTGGCTCGGTTTCCATTTTACTGTCAGGTGCAACTTGTAGGGGATCTGCGGATAGCCCAGGTTTGTTCATTCGAAGTGAGCCGTGCGGAGAGTGTGCGGAGCCTCAAAATTCGGCCAGGCGCCAGCCGAGCCGAGCCAGTCGCCCCTGGCGGCCTTGCCAGTAGTGCTGCGGCAGGCGTCGGAGCAAGCTGTAGAGCCAGATACGGCGGTGGGTCAACACCAATGGGATCCCATTTTGGGGTAATTAGGTGAATTCACCAACCATTTTAACACATATTTTAGTGGGGATTGGGATGTTCACTGGGGGTGCGGGGTTTTGACCCATGGCCAAATCCCATGAGCATCCATAAGCCCAGACTTGGCTTCTATACGCATAATCTAGACGTAGGGGGCATTCCCAATTCTTGGCTGGACGCACACTTTTCCGAGCAGGTTAGGGGCGTGAGTTGTGACGCTGGGCTGAACTGTGGCCAGGAGTTGATGGGACCTCGCCTTAGACTCGCAGCTGGCTGGGCCAAGAACTGTTGACTAGAAGCTTGATAGCGACACAAATGAACAAACAGCCAGCGCAATACGTCATATGTCAGATATGTCATGGTTCAGCAGGGCTCCTTAAAAGATACATTTTGCAAACATTTGAAGCATGGCTTTTTGCACCAAAATAAAGGGAAACCACCATTTAGAAGATCCCTGTTCAGGGAGCAGTTTGCCAAGGCCAGCTGGGCACACCCTTGTTGACCCTGCATCCCTTCTTCCACGAGCTCGACGTGGCGCACCCACAGGCAGTCTCAGCCAAACAAAAAACGGACACGGGATGCACACCTTGGACCTGCCTATTCTTGGTGGCTCCCAGCCATCCCCTTAGCTTTTTAGCATTTTTTGTGTGTGTTTAGTGGTAGAGACCATTTAACCCGCTAAAAGTTAAACTTTGAGCGGGGGATCTGAGGGCAGCCCAGTATTGAGAGCTTCCTATCACTTTGGACCCAGCCCCTTTGCAGAGACGACCGAAGCCGAGTCGCCCTTTTTGTTGCCCGAAGCCAGGCCATCAAGGAGGCGCGCCGCGAGACGAAGAACCTGTGTGTTCCATTGCCTCGCGCTGGGGGAGGCTTCCAGGTTCCAAAAGGTGGACCTCTTTTTGGATGTTGTTTGATTTGAATGAAAGAGCGCCTTTTCAGGGTCCGTCGAGCGAAAAATCCAGTCGCAAACTCCTAACACCACTCCCCTGCAACGCCATGAGCGAAGTGGTCGCGATTCCATGCCAGGTGATCAACTGCTTGCAGCAGCGCTTCTATAGCCCCACCCAGGAGTGCCCTTTGTGCCTTTGTGGATGAGGGCAATGCCACGACAGCTTCCTGGAAGGACATTTTTGTGGCGTCAAGTATCGCCAAGTGCATGTATGTGATAGCAAAGGCGGGGTTCTCAGCTCTGCACCGGCTTGCACTTTGGTCGGACGCTTTGACCGTTCCAAGGGCATGGCTTCGTACGCCAAAGAGGCCAACTTCCTGAGCCCCAAGAGGCGTCAGACATGTGCCGCTGCATTCGGAGCCGTCTTGCACCTCTGTAGGAGGCCAGACGTGAGGGTGGCGGTTGGCCAACACGCGAGCGCCCCAAAGCAAGCTGATCAGAGCTGCCGCGAAATCGCGAAATCGGCGAGGTGGCTGAAGGGGGGCTGTGGCTTGAGAACTGGGCGCACCTCGGCACCTTGACGGCCGGCGCCTTGGCACTGGCCATGCCCAGGGCATCCACGGCAGAGTATTAGATGAGGAACCTTCAAAAATACGGTGTTTCATTGATGTTTGGCAATGCATAATTGCATGACAAGCGATAGGGGACTCGCACAAAATGTAGCAAAATGTAGTATCCCGGTTAGAACATCGGAAAACGATAGGGGACCAGTGATTTCGACCGTGCTTCAGATATTCTCATCCCCGCCATCCCCGAATTCATTTGCTGGAACCAAACCCAGCATTTGTTGATGCATCTCTCCAAGCTGGCAGGTGGCGGGCCTGGAGGATGGATGCTGCGAGGTCGGCTGTGCATGCGGGAGAGTGGCTGCCCCTCTTCCCGCGATGGATTCCTTGCCACCCTCCAACCACTGCTTTTTGGACAGCACTTGGGATCTTTGACATGGGACAAGCACTTGGGGTGCCCCCTTGCGTAAGGCATGCCTTGGCCTTCGGACTTGTTGGTCTAATGGGGAACCGCAACTTGGCTTCGCCAACAATTCAAACGCTGATGTTACTGAATCAATCCGGGTTTCCAATCAACTTGATCTGTCATCAATCCTTGCCGTTTTTTTGTTGCACCAGGTACTGTCCCTGGACAGCCTCAGCTTTGGCACCCTGCTGCGGCGTGGCCCCTGCGAGCTCTGGCAGGCGAAGTCGTGTCTTCGTGTCCCGCAGGTTTGATGAGCAATCCACACGGAAACTGAAGGTTTGGCCATGTTTCACACCCTTAGATATTGTGGATGGACGAAATCCTGCACCACTTTAAAGGAAGCCATGGGAAGCCATTGTTCGTTCGTATTTACAAGGGAGTAATCATTCCAGGGCTTCTTAGGTGGTGTGCAGGATTTCGAGCATCCATGGTAGGTATGTCCCCAGGGCAATGTATGTACTCTTGTTCTAGCTGTCGGGACTTTTCTTGTGCGGGTGTAAAAAAGCCGCAAAGGATTGAGTGGTTGTGGATAGGAACCATGCAAAATAGTTCGGCCCTGCCAGCAAATGACTTGCACACGCAGGCGGCGTCGAGCTATGCACGAGCCTTCGCACGGCCGCTCCATCCGCTTGCAACTCATGGAGCGTATGTGACTTGCTTTGATCACATGTGGTCGACACACCTTTGTGTTTGGGGTTCGTATGCATGGTCATACATCCCTCAGTAAGGGACTTAAACAAGATCCTTTTTGGTTGACCCTGACGGTCAGAAAAAGTGTTGACCATGGTTCACATACTTGAGATTTGAGTGTACTCCACAGGCCTTATGGGTTGGGATTTGGGGGCAAAGGTTCTTGTGTTTTGTTGAGGGATTGGTTCATTCGGCAATGCCAGGCGCGCCAGCGACGGCATCTCAGATCTGGATGCGGATACAGAGGGGCTGCCGCAGCCTCTGAGAGTTCAGCTGGCGACAGAGCCGCCAAAAACCCTTGGTTCGAACTTGCGAATCTCACAAGATCTGGGTGAATTATAACGACCTCACAAAACCTTCACCCCAAATGGTGGTTTATGTGGGGAATATCCCTCCAACCACCTTATTGCAGGCTGGTGAAATATTATAATTCACCTAGATAAGATCTCATGAGGGTCAGAGCGAGTTGGATCCTTTTTGATTGAGACACAAGTTGATCTCGAAATACTCAACTTTGTGACCTAGACATGCGTGCCCTTCGGGAAACCACGGCTTCTGCAGCCAACCCGCTCCAAGCATGAGAGGATGAAGATCACGGATGAGGCCTTCGCCGATGTCTGGGCACTCAGAACTCTCGCGAAATCGAAGGAGCGTTCCGAGTTGCATCTCGGGAATCGATCGTCCCAACTCTCAGGCGCTGAGATTCTTGGCGCAGGCCAAGTGGATCCGATCGGAGCCGGGGACTTTTCATCGAGCTGGGAGGTAGGGATGTCGAAAAAAGGGCCGTTTTGGGTGGATCGATCCGCAGAGTGGCTGTCCTTTGGTTGAATCATTGTTTTAGCTATGAATCCACCTTCCAAATTAGGACACTTAAGGCGTCACGTGTCTGGGCCCTTTCATCCAAGTCCACCAACTCCTTGTGGGATCTTGATTGCTCGTTAAACCGTTCTCAATAGCTGGCGCACCGTGTAGGGGTGAAGGAATTTGGAAGCCCACCACATTGTCGTGTTCTCAATTTGGGAGGGCATGTTCAGTTGAACTACTCGTTAGACTACTTTGGGATCGATTTCATGTTCGCCACCGTTTCAGTGGACTATTCTGACACACCCCGTTTTTGGTCGGAGCTCGGTTCACATTCATCCCCATGTCATGGGCTCGGTTTGTCTTGAGGGTACCCCATTTCTTTCTGGTGCTCAAACAAAGAACCAAGAGGAACACGGTTCCAGAGAGTTTGGGGGGTCCAACCTAGAAAAACGACACCTCCAGGTGAGCCACAATCAAACCCCGGGTAGATGAAGGCTGGTAATTAAGGGACAATCCCGACCAGAAATAGCTGCGGATATCCGCCTTCTTCATCCTTTCCATGGCTCGGGGTCGACCATTTTAATACTGGGTTTTGATTATGACTCAAATGGTCTTCCAGGGACCCCCCCAAACGTCAGGTTCCACGTGTTACTTGGGAGGTTTGTCTCGGTCAAGGCTGGTCAATGGTTTAATACCGGGCTTTGATGATGACTCAGGTCTGCCCAAGGCTTACACCTGCGACTAGTCAGAGGTAGACCGCAGCCAGGAAGCCGGCCGCGACTGCGGCGAGGGCGCCGGCCCGGCTGAGAGCTCAGATCGGCCTTTTGGAGACCCAGTTTGCTCGGGTTCCTTTCCCTTTGGCCGTCCAAACATGGAGCCTCTGATTTTAGGAATACAAGCTTTGGTGCATTTGCTTGGATGCTAGGACTTTAACTTTTTGCCAACTCATGGGTTTTCCATTAAACCCCTAAAAGTTAAACTTTTAGCAGGGGAGCAGAAAGCAACTGAGCAAGGGGTTGTCTCAAAGCCACGGATTTGTGTCAGGGTTTCAGGCAAGGACACCTTTGCCGAGCGGAGCCCGGCAACATGGTTGTGACCAAAATGGGGTCACGTTTTGGTGACCCCTTTGAAGGCAACACAAAATGAAAGCCCAAGGGCTTAAGGTTTGTCACCCACATGCGTTTTCGCCGTGCTTGGCCTAGGTTTCACCCTGAGCGAATTCGCTGCCGCGCTGTATATTTCTTGCGGCTGGGCTATGTTGGCGTCCAAGATGCCAACATCAAGCAGGTCGAAAGGTCTCACGTGCCAGACACAACCCGCTTTTGAGGTGTGCTTGTTGTCAAATTGTGTTTCCAGGTGCTATCCTTTTAGGTGCCCCTGACCAAATTCAAAAAGGAAAATCCCCGTGAGGCGAAAAGAACAGAAAGGCAACTATGCACAGAATCACCAAAGTCGCAGAAGCGATACGCGATGTGTGCTCCTGGCACTGCATGTCCGAGCCTTTCAAGGCAGCGCAAGCTGGCGGACTGATTAAAGAAATCGAGTCAAGTTCCATTTGAATCGCGTTGGACCTTGGCCATGGTTGTGCGCCTGCAGCCACGAGTCCACAACGCAAGTCTGACAATCGCAAACAGGTGAGTCTCTCATATTTCTGGATTTGTCTTCGGAAACCGCGCCTGCGCGCCGCTCGCGGGCAACGATGGATCCAGTGGCGGGCGAAACCTTCTGGCAAGGAGCCGCGGATGTTGGGAATTCCCATGAACTTTCGGAGGAAATTGGAGACCTCGAGTTTGATGATGACTATTCTTTGGTTTGCGGCATTTTCATCTTTTGGCTTGGCCTCAAAGTCCTGACAGGAGCCAACTGGCCATTCCTCGTGGCAGCGGCAGTTGCAGTGCCGGGCAACCACAGTTGAGGTTGCCGTGCCTTTCAAAGGACTTCCCCAAGTTCGGGGACCTTTCCTTTGGGATTCTTCCCTAGTCGGCCAAAGGTCCCCCGACCTCGCCGTTTTTTGCTGCGAGAGTGGCGAGGTTAAAATCGATTCGGCCACCGAATGGGTGGACCCCTGGTCCCAAGCCGCGGACCAGGGCTGACATTTTGTGGTGCACTATGTACTACTATGTACCGGCGAGCCCCGCGCCTTGGTGTCCTTTTTCTGTGGACCCTTCGGCTGCCTTTTGGAAACCTAGAAACCGTTGCAAAGCAAAAGAGAAAGTGGGCCAACAGGTCGGGGGCAAAACGGGGGTCCCCTTGTTCAAGGCCAGAGATTGTGAAGTTTGTCGCGTCGCTCCTGCAGCGCTCCCGCATCGGCAGCCCTGTACCAGAGGACTGCCTGCCAGTCTCGAAAGCAGCGCATACAGAGATCTCGCATGCGAAGGAGCTGAAAGGTATCTATGACGAGGCCTGGTGCTCCCAAGATTCCGGTCACAGGTCGCTGAGCCCTGGCTTTACCGACATCTCCCTAATTTTTGTGTGACTTGGGCCTTTGGGCCCTCAAAACAGATCCCAGTGATTCCCGCTGTTGACAGATTCGGCGTTGCCTCCAACGAGCCAAGCCCAAAGCTGCCAGGAAGAGAACGACACGTCTTTGAGTTTCCCGGCTGCACAGAATGTTGCGCACTACGCAGTCACTGGTTGTCATGACCAGAGTTCCATCATGGGCAAGAGACTTTCATGGAGTTGGTGCTCAACAGGATACAGCATCGCCAAGAGCACCTTTGGCCTTTGGCACACCTTCTTCAGCGCTGGCGTCTTCTTCGGCTTCTGGCTCCTTGGAGGAGTGGTCGAATAGAGCTCCCTGCCCCCGTCTGATTTGATGGCTTGGGAGCAGTAGAACTGAGCGCCCATACCATTCACAGAAGTCACATAGATCATAGATCCCTTTTCTTTTTGCGCAGTCCCTGGGTGATGAAATGCACATGACGTGCAAATTCACCCCAAGGACACCGCAAGGAAGCATCTTTTTGTTTTTTTTTACCACTTTTTGGTTGGTACCCCTTTCGGGTTGCTTTCGAAGGGAACCAGAACACAACACCCACCCATGTTTTATTGTTGTTGTTTTTTTGGAGGGGGGCGCTTTGGATTCCTATGTTAAGAAAGGACACCCGCATGTGAACCACAATCAACACCCAGGTAGTTGGAGAATAATTAAGCGCAATCCCAGACATAAATGGGTGCGGATAGCCGCCTAGAGATGCTACATGGATTTGGGTAGATCAGTTTGATTCATACCGATCGGTTTTGATTGCATGACCCTTTAAAAATGGGGTCGTGAGCCCATTATTTTGGGTAATGACCCCATTTTTAAAGGGCCATGGAGACTCCAGGTACCCCACATGGCTTGCCCTGGTAAATGGATACATGGACTACAATCGGCGGTGCAACTCCTGGTGCTTAAATGTTGACCCATTCCCATATCCTGCAAGTCTCAGGTACAGATTTTTGACCCACGGCCAGACGTTTCACGATGGCTTCGAACCTCGCGCCAGGCTTCCCCTGCCTCGACGGATTTTGCTGCGGCCTGGAGCTCTCAGAGGTCTCCACAGGCCGGATGTTCCGAAAGGTCCGCGGTAGGAGCGGCGTCGCGGGGCCTGTCAATTTTTGTTTTTTGAGGGGTTTTGAAAGGGACACTGTCTTTGGGGGTACCTGTTTTGGGGGAATCTAAAAGGAACCCACAAGGAGAACCGCTTGTTTTTTTGGCGGGGTGCCCCCAAAAAGGACACCCACATTGCCCTCTTCCAAATGGGTTGTCTCCTTTTGGTTGTAGATGTGGGACCCTTCAAGGGATACTTGCAAATAGTAGTCGGGCGATTAGGGGAAACCGGTGATTTTTGCAGGACCACCCACAAGTAGGGCGGGACGCAAGCACGTGTTTCTAGGGGTACCTTCCCGATTCTTTCCAGGGATCCTTCTTTCTAGAAAACCTCCGGAAACCCAGGGAAAACGGCCGGATTTTGGAAAGAATGATGCCTGAAAAGAATAGGGAATCAAACCCTAGAATGTTATGTTTTTGTGGAAACCATAGCTTTCTGGCATTTGAAGTGTGCTGTGGCAGCTTGAGACTTTCGCAACGCGCAGCGAGGCGTCGTGTACATCACGCTGCTCATGGGATTGCAGCAGGAGGGGCCTTTGGCATGCGCTAACACGGGGCTTGGGAATTGGGCCGAGGCGCTGGACATCCCATGGGATTTGTACTTCACCTTTGTCTTGGAGGACGAGAGAGGGAGAGAGACTTCGTGAGAGCCGTTTGCGGCACTTCAAGACTAGCCCCAAAAAGTCTTGACACGCTGTACTCTTACCCATACCGGCAAAGGCGACGCCGCGGGTCGTCGCACATGTCAAGCATAGAACGAAAGTTTGCCATGCACTCCTCGACAGACTGCCAAACGCGTGCAAGCGCGCCTTTTTTGTCTTGATGCCCCCGCCGCTGTGTACCATCTGCGCCGTCACAAGCCGACGATGCACAAAGTGACATTTTTATTCATCTAGCTAGCTAGTGATCAGGTACCTGGATAGTTCGGGAGTTAGCACATAATTTTTCTGATTAGTTTAGCTAACTAGTTAGATGGCTAGCTTGCGTGCTGCTGTTGTTAGCTAGTTTCCTGGTAGATACTTTGGCGAGCCAGTGAGTCAGCTGTTAACCTGCTTGCTAGCTAGCTAGTTTGATACTTAAAGTAGTTAGCTCAGATAGCTGGTTCTAGTTGGCTAGTTGGGCGGTAGTTGGCTACTCAGCAAAATAATTTGCTAGTCAGCCAATTCGCGAGTTGGCCAGTTGGCTCACTAGATAACCAATACTAGGTTAACGGGCAGCTGGCTGGTTAGCTGGTCAGCCGGTCAGCTAGTTTGCGAACTAGCTAGTTGCCTGCTTTGTGGCCAGCTGGCTCAAGAGTAAGCCGCTTATTTATCTAGCTACTTCGGTCAGCTAGCTAGCTGGTTAGCTCGCGAGCTAGCCAGTTAAGCAGCTAGTGAGAGGGCAATTTAGCCAGCGCGTTTGCAAGTTAGAAGAGGTAGCTAGCTAGCCAGACAGCTAGCTTTGTTAGCTGGTTCGCTTGCTTCTTGGAGAGTTGGCTCGGTGAGATCGTTAGCGACCGAGTTTGCTAGTTAGGCAGCTAGCTAGTTGACAAGTCAATTGGCTTGCAGCTAGTTTGCGATTTAGCTATTGTGGATAAGTAGTCTGCTAGTTTAAGAGATTGCACGTTTGCCAAGTGCCACTTAGGCTAGTTCTGTCTAGTTGGCTGCTGAACTTGCTAGCCGGTTAGTTAGTTAGCTAGCTAGCTAGATAGTCAGTCAGTCAGTCAGTCAGTCAGTCAGTCAATCAGACAGTTAGTCATTTACTTCTTTATTTACTTGGTTATATTGTGAGCTAGCTCGCTGGTTAGATAGCTTATAGCTTGCTACTCAGTTGGCGGATGAAAACGCGCGAAGGTACTATTTGTTGTCGCTTTGGCGCACACAGTCTACAGAGGGTTTGCCATTTGAGGCTTGCGCGTGTTGAAACGAGCAGCGCAACAGTTTTTGAAGGTCGCCCAAAGAGCGCACGTTGCAAAATCCGGGTCCGCTTCGAACATGGCCCGAGCCCGCGTCGTGACTAAGGTGGTTTGCGCAGCAGAGCCGATGTCATGCAAAAGGCCACTTTAAACTGCGGGGCGATTTCGTGCATTTTACATGTTCCACGGTTCAAATACGCTGACAAATTCACTCTGCAACAAAACCTCAGATCAATCACAGCTCATTTTTAGTTTCAGTGCCACGGAAGTTTCTAGGGCTTCCTTTGATTGGGGAGTTGCTTGGTCAATCTCCACGTACTTTGCCAGGAAAAGTTCGGCTTCAACAAGACGACGGCGGCGACCTTCGCCAAGGATCGGGTGAAGGCCATGGGTATGTTGTCCATTCGTTTCGGCTCACGAAAAAGACATTTTTTGTGCATCGAGGGGGAGCGGTGCATCCTTGTTTTGTTGGATCAGCATTTGGGATTAGCTTTGTTTGCGCATGGGCTTTCGTCGGGGCAAATGCAATCGGTTGCAATGCGTTAAGCCAAAGGCGTGGTTGCGCAGCGGCTAAGAAACGGGCCGCTGGTTTACACTAAATTTCCCGTTAGGACCTCCAAAAAGAGTGGTTGCATTGGAACCTGGTAAATGGTAACTTTTGAGGCGAATTAATGAGCAAGCTGACATGTGATCCGCAGACTCTGCGGGCGTTTTGCTCAGGGCGTCCTGCTCTACCTGCTACTGGGGGTGCCGGTTCTGGCAGTGGTGCTTTGGCTGCCTGGCTCACGACATCCAGGGTGAGTCAACCCTTTTAAGGGAAACCCTGACCGTGAATATAGGTCTTTCAAGTCAAGGCAAAAGCTGCGTTTGAAGGGGCCACAATATGCGCAAACATGGACCTCCCTTTGCACGGTGGTTTGCCTTGCGGTTTTCACACAGGGGTCCGAAAGAAGGCTCATGTAATTTGGTTAGCCGCCCAAATGTGGGATCCCTTCGGGCGAGCTGTTTGATGCTTTCTGAATAGAAGCTCCGGCCTTCCGCGGGGCGAGTCGAAGGTTTCTTGGCAGCTTCGGCACCGGCGCTTGGTTTTGGGTGTGGAGCTTCATCACTGCCGTCCAGGCGGGGGAGCTAAATCGACTCACCAATGGTGTCGCAATGGGCTCATATATGGCTGTGGCTCAAAAAAACGGCACCCAAAATGGATCCCTGGCAAGTGGAAACATGGACCAACACCTGCGTAACCCCAGCTGTTTAATTTTGAGCCACATCCATGTATGGAATGGGGGAGGGATGTCGACTGGAGATCTCCCTTCCTTTTTTGAAGAAGACTAGATAAATGAAATTGGGGAACCCCTACTCTGTTCGGGGGGATCATTGAATATACTGAATTTAAGGATGCGGCTGTTTCTTTGAAAACAGCGGGGTCCCAGATGGCAGATGTCCTCTTTCCCTTTGAACGCTGTGATGTAAGGAAACCAGCAGGGGTGCCCTGTGTTCGGACACACCCATGACACCAAACAAAAGGCACCTCTTCAAACCACGAGTGTCTCAACACATGTCTCGTCCGCAAGGGACACGGGAAGATTTGTGAGTCATGTCCACCATGTCTACTCCAATTGGAACAAAGACTACCGGCAAACAGTTCATAAGGTGGGGCCGAAACACATTGTGAGTTCAACATATTCTTGTGTTTCAATGTGTGCCAGGTGATCATGCTGATCCTGCTGCCGGTTTTGATTCTGCCGCTCTTCATGGCAACCCCGGCCGCATTTGGCATTCAAAAACCGGGTTATTTTTGATCCCAGCACGCTTGCAGCGGAGCTCAGGAAATGATTCCCTTGCCGGACGGCCAAGCCATCATTCTGGAGGCTGAGAGTTTGGATGTGAAGCTGCCAACTTGTTGCATTCTCACGTGGGTATGGGTCAAAATGAAACAGCCAGGGGATCGCAGGTTTTGGTCCTTGGTTCCATTTACCAGGGTTTCATTTTGGGTACCTATTTTTGACCCACACCCATGTGAAGCTGCCAACTTTTTGCATTCCCAAGTGACTCTCGCTAGGATGTCGGAGCGGATCAAGCACTTCCCCCATTTTTGTCTGGCAGGTGGAACCATGCGAATTGAAAAGGTCGCATGAAAAGCCATGTCTGCCAGGGTTTTCTACGCTGACGAGCCTCTCCAAAACGAGAAAGCCTGGACCACGAGGGACAGACGCTTCGCAGGCACCTGAGTTTGGCATGGCGCATGTGTTGGTGTCATGGAGCTTGGCCCTCCTGGCCTCGGATTCGCTAGAGAACCTCCTTGAGGCAAGGAGGGTGTGGCTCAACATCAAACAGCCGGGGTTACGCAGGTTTTAGTCTTTCCCATATACCAGGTGCCATTTTGGGTATATACCATTTTTTGAGCCACAGCCAAGAGATCTGGTGACCTTTCCAGTTTCCTGCGTCAGGCGCCAAAGTCGGCGAGCAGCTGGTGCTGCGGCGCAAAGACGGGTCCTGGGTGATTTGCTCCGCCCGTGGCGAAGACGTCCAGATCTATGCCTGGCCCTCGGGCATGCCCAGCCCAGCCAACTGCTGGGATGACGGGCGCTTTTCTGAAAGAAAGCCCCCTATCCCAGAGTCACTTGTGGCTTGGTTTACTTCCCCTCACTTGTGGTTTGGTTTGCTTTTGCCTTTCAGTGAATTTCAAGATGCAAAGCGGGATCCACTATGAGGACATGGCTTGGTCGATGAATTGAGGCCACAGCGAACGGCGCAGGCCTTGAGTATGCAACGTGCACGGGGTCGGCACACGGAGTTTAGGAGATGAGCAGTGAAGCAGCCGACAGGCTCCTTTGCCGATGGAAAGCTCAGCTTCCAGATCACAGAGGAAGCGAAGAAGTTGGTCGAAGCCAAGCAAGGCGGGTGTCCAATGCAATGCGCGTCCAAAGTTTGGGACCCCTGGATGAAAGCACAGAAAGCCAGATCGAAGTACCAAAACAAATTTTCAGTGCCCGGCCTTCAGGCCAAGCATCCAGTGACCCACTCGTGCCACGTGCTGCTACGACCGTGAATGCAGCCTGCGTAGAAGCAGGCACTTGCGGCTTGTGTCCTGAGGGAAGCGTTCTGGGTTTGGGTTGGGCTTTTCAACCAAGATACAGATGCACTTCTTGATCCGAATCCGAAGAGCACTTTCCTTTGGGACGATTGCGCGTTCTGGGTTTCCAACTCGGCTGTCCAAGTGAGTGAAGCGCTCTGGGTTTGGGTTGGGCTTTTCAACCATACAGATGCACGATTGCCAAGCTCACGATGGCTTCCAACTCACGATGGCCAAGCTTGAGTCCAGTTCACCTTGTGTCACGCGCCTGTGAGGATCCCTTCGCCGGTCGCTCCTGGAGATGGCAGACAGTTTGGGCTACAAGGGTGCCAGACGCCTGACAGCAAGAAACGACTCGGAGACATGACCCGTAAGACGGAGAGTTTGGAAGTTGTTTTTGCAGGAATCTGGAAATTTGTTGAGACTAGAGGGACCCCCGAAACCACAAATCCCTTTGCCCTTAAGGCATCTTCGTCATCGACGGGTCTGCCCGAAGCTCACACAGCAATGCCTTCTGCACAGGACCGGGCGCCCAAGAACATCAAATGATCTAGCAACGGTCTATACTGAGGTGAGTCACCATCAAAACCCGGGTGATCGGAGGGTAAGGGACAATCCCAGCCATAAATGGGAGTTAAATGGGTGCGGATAGCCGCCTCTTCAATTCTTTATATGGGTGGACCATTTCAATACCGGGTGTTGATTTTGACTCAGGTAAGACCTAAGACTATGCTCAAACTACCATTCGATATTCGGAAATGAAGAGTTCAGCACCAAAATCCAATGTCATTCTGGGGCACAGTTGAATATCGACCAGAACTCGGCATTCCTTTATTTTGTTTTCCCATGAAACAGCCAACAGCATGGTGCTGAGTTTCGACCCACTCTGCCGCGCGAAGCAGGATTTGGCAGCTTCCGGCGCATTTGCCTCTTTGATACCTTGCTCCCAATCATGTCGGAGGCGCCATTTTTGGGTTGAGGTCAGGAGCGCTCCGGGCTATCGGGTTGCCCTGCACCGACGCGGTTTCCGACGCGGGGGTGTTGGCGAAGGGGTAGCACCTGGCGCAGGGAGAGATCCTGGCGGTGTTGGGGCATGAGATCGGCCATGACCGGCTTTACCACGTCCACACGCGGCGGCTTGCATGGAAACAGATAGAGCTTGGGGGTCAACACTGGTATCCCATTTTGGGGTAGGTGAATTCGCCACCCATTTTAGAACCTATTTTAGTGGTTGGATTGGGATGTTCACTGGGGGTACGGAATTTTGGATTTTGGCCCATGGCCAGATAGAGCTTGGGGGTGGGCGGGCGCAACTAACTCAGATGGTCGCGTCCTTCCATCTCCGTCAAAATCAAATCGCAGTCGGCGGAAGTGTAGCATGTGAGCTTTTGGGCACGGTGTGCGCTGAGAGACTTCAGAGCCTGCCAGCATGCTTAAGGGGAGTGGAGCAATGGTCTACATAACATGACATGTAGCAAAAAGGGTGATTTGATGGGTTCCCTAATCTTGAAATGTGAGGTGCTCACCAAAACTGCATGTCCTCGGCGGATCCACACAATAGATTGACTTTGGATCACCTTTGGTTAGCTGGAGTTAGTTGCAATGTCCTTGGAAACTGACGGATGAAAGTGACCCACTTTTGCCAGAGGGTCAGTTCCACGATCGCAAAAAAAACACCAACCCACATTGAGATCAAGCTGTCTCCCGTTCGCTTTCCACCTTCGGGAGCAGCAAAGCGCATGCAGATCACAGATTGCTCCAAGGTTGATTTCTCAGATCTTGCATCTCGGTTTGCATAATGGCCAGTTCCTAGCCGACGGCAGGAATTTCCACCTTGCTTACAGGATGTCACAGACCAGATGTCGCAGACCTGTGCATGTTTTGCGGTGAGTCTGAGCTTGCGCCAGCTTGGCACTCTCAGCAATGACGAGTCAGGGTCACACTTTGACTCCAGCATGTTGCAACTGGGTAGGTCTTTTTTAGGGGACCCATGGTTCGTTTCCTCTTGGTTTCCCTTTACCACCAAAAATGGGCTACCAACTCCAAGAAGACAGACCCAATCTTTGCATTTCAACCAGCTCTTGGACTTGAGGTACTTGTTTGTGATGCTGTATGTGCTGGGCAACTTTCTTCTCTCACCAGCGCTGAGCGCCGCGTTCTTCGCGCAGCCCAAAGTCGTTCGGTTCGATTGCATTCCGTTTTTTTTGTTCTTCTTTTGTTTTGTCTTTTCGGTCTCAAAGTCAAAACATGAAGTCCAAACAAGGGGTGCTTCCTCTCAAACGCATGCCAAGATGTAGGGGGTTGGGCGCACCCGCTCGGGGAGTGAGAAGGAGTGGGGGGCAAATTTGAGTGTGGCATCATGCCCTTGGATCCATTTCAAGGGAAGACTCAATCATAGGTTGATGTTAGGTGCGGGTTCTTTGCGGCGCGAGGTGTATCTCGGCGTGGTGTTCTTCAGCATCATTTGGGAGCCGGCCGCCTGTCAGAGGTATGCAAAATTCACCCCCCAAGAAGGAAATGTCCTCCTCCTCCGCCCCCCCCCCCCCCAAAACGGACGGAGACGGATGCCTTGCCGTCCTTTGACATAGATGTTGCCACGAGGGGGTCCCTAGTTCTCGGCAAAATCACAATGGAGTTGCCAAAGCTGGACCCCCATTTGGCAGGCATTGAGGACCTTAAACGGGTGAAGGGGGGAGACAGTACTACCTGTGAAGCTGCAGCGTTCTGCCCTTTTGATTCTTTCTTTCCCTCGTTTGATTGTGACTCAGTTGGTTAGTTTCTTGTTGAACCTGCAGGGCCAGTCATGGGACTCTTCTTAAAAAAGTCCAGGGTACTCCAGGAAACCTACAGTTGAAAGTGGCACATTCCTGTGCAGCCCAATGTTGGGCATTTCGAGGAACACCATTGAAAAGTTTGTAGAGGTCTATTTCCTATATTTTGATCTACAGATGGTTCCCTGCTTCCCCTTTTCCATGTGGCCACCCCACCCCACCCCCCCCCACCCCACCCCACCCCCCCCACCCCCCCCCACCCCACCCCACCCCCCCCACCCCACCCCACCCCCCCACCCGGCCTTCTTTTTGGAGAGGTGGACTTCCCGCTGTCGGTGCTCATGCAGCTGCTGTCCCGGTCCCACGAGTACCAGGCCGACCGCTTCTCAGTGCGCGCCGGCCGCGAGAACAGCCGCTTGCTGGGCGCCCCGACCGAATTTGGCCGTCCCGGAGCCAGGAAACACCCAGGGAGCGCCACGGGTTCCATGTGGCGAAGAAATCAGAAAACCACACGTTGAATGCTTCAAACACAAAAGGACACCAAGGGAAAGTAAGGGGTCTTCCTTCAGCAGGGTTTCTGCACTGTCTTTCAAGCACCAACACAAGAGTGATTGTCTCAGGGTCAAGATAGGGCTGCTATTTTGGAATCCGTCAAAGGTGTCACGTTGGCCTGCATTAACAGGGTCCAAGATGTTGGCGTTTCAGGTGGGATGTCGCTTTGCTGGTTTGTCTTACCCAGAGTGAAAAGCAAAGACTGCAGTTTGAACAAGGCGAAGCCTTGAAGAAGCTCATGAAGAAGAGCAAAGTCAACTTGAGCCTTGGAATGCAGCGTCGGCTGCGGCCAAAATACCAAGATTATATTTATTGGTTTGTTTTGGTTCTGCTGGTCTGGTTTTGTTTGCTGGTTGGTTTGTTGGCTGGTTGTTTGGTTTGGCTTGGTTTTTGGTTGGTTGGTTGGTTGGTTGGTTGGTTGGTTGGTTGGTTGGTTGGTTGGTTGGTTGGTTGGTTGGTTGGTTGGTTGGTTGGTTGGTTGGTTGGTTGGTTGGTTGGTTGGTTGGTTGGTTGGTTGGTTGGTTGGTTGGTTGGTTGGTTGGTTGGTTGGTTGGTTGGTTGGTTGGTTGGTCGGTTGGTTGTTTGGTTGTTTGGTCGGTTGGTCGGTCGGTCGGTCGGTCGGTCGGTTGGTTGGTTGGTTGGTTGGTTGGTTGGTTGGTTGGTTGTTTGGTTGTTTGGTTTTTGGTCGGTCGGTTGGTCGGTTGGTTGGTTGGTTGGTTGGTTCGTTGGTTCGTTGGTTCGTTGGTTCGTTGGTTCGTTGGTTCGTTGGTTCGTTGGTTCGTTGGTTGGGTGGAGGGTGGGTGGGTTAGTTGGTGGGTGAAGTGATCTCTAGAAAATGGAGCAGGGCTTAGGGCAGAGAAAGTCACTTGGCCTCGTTTCACCATTTCCACTGTCATCATCCCAAGCGGCAGGTGCACAGGCTCCGAGTTTCTAACTTTGATTTTCAGATGTAAGGACTCCGCACCCGTTCCACGTGTTTCTCAACAACTCCCATCCTCCTTTGGACACTCGCTTACAAGCGATTCGAGACTACCATGAGAAGTACTACAGCTGTGCGGCATGAAGGGTCTCCTGGATGCGGGCAACCTACTGCACCTACGTGGCTTTCGACAAATCCCTGCTACGGCGCTCAAAGTCAGCGACCCTCAGCTTCAGTGTATGTGGATTGTTTCGCGCCGCAGGCTTTCTGGACAAAAGAGTCCCCCGTTTGCCACCATCAACCCCCCAAAATTGCCACCGAACTCAGCCAGCCAAGACCGAATGCTGAGCAAACGCGTGCCCAGTCGTCTGAGCATCTCACTTTAGCTTTGGCTCCAGCGGTCCGACATGGCGCAGGTGTTGCGCTCTAGTTAACTGACCCACAATCAAAACCCGGGTAGATGAAGGTTAGCAAGGTACAATCGCATAAATAGTTGCGGCCGCCTTCTTAATTCTTTACATGGTTCTGGGTAGACCATTTTAATACCGGGTTTTGACTATGACTCAACTGAGGATTGTTGAATAAATGTGCCACAGGCACCTTGACTACCAGGTTTGTCCTCCCGTCCCCTCTCATGTGCTTCCCACAGTGGGTCCCGCGGTCTGTGCTTTGGCTTGATGGGCTATAGCCATGGGCGATCCTTGCAGCTCAAGTGGCGGCCATCAGGCACGAGAAGATCCCTTGCCATGATGACATGATGACATGATGACATGCGTTGTTGATCACAGGTCCTAGCCGGCACGCGAGTATCGCATTCTCGTTGTTCTTGGCTGTTGAAAAAGGAGTCATCGGGCTTTGCCTCTGGAAGCAGATGCGCGTCACCTTGTTTGCTTACTTTGCTTGGCTTTCCCTCTACCCATGCAAAGTCTCGGAGATGGTGTACGGGAGCTCCAAATAAGCGACCGCGGGCTTCTCGGCGCCCCCAAATTGGCCAGGCATTGAGCTGAGCCAAGTCGGTAGATGGCCAGCTGGGCCTGGCACTGTGCCATGCCGAAGGCTTCATGGTGTAATGGTTGTCTACTTCCATTTGCCTAAGCGTATTGGTTATTTTCCCTGTTTGGTTTTGAAGGGCATCTATCACTGCTGGATTTTTTCCAGGGGGCTTAAGCAAATGGAAGTCTAGGTCCCATGACAAAAGTGTCACTATTGCTGCTGCCACAAAGCGCGACATCACTCTGCAATCAACACTCAGCGCACCAAGTCAGCCCTCGCGCCTGGGTTTCTGGCTCCAGCACACAGATCGCAAGCGCGGTCCACACAACGCAAACGGCTGCATACTTCAGCGGCATGTCGCGCAGCCGCTCGCGCAGTGCGGGGCGGGAGATGGACGAGGTTTCAGGCGAGTCGAAAGCGTCGGGGGATTTCTGGCGGCTGCAGCTGGAGGCCGTGTATGCGCGTCGGAACCCGGCGAAGCTGGGGAAGATCCCGGAGTTGCTGCAGAAGTACGCGGGTCAGGAGGCGGTGCTCTACGCCAAGGTCTGCCGCACCTATGACCTGAATCCCCAGAAGTTCCACACGGAGCCGGATGCCTGGCTAGAGTACGACCTACCAGATCGCGGCACTTACATCCGCGCAGCCGATAGCACAGCGGAGGAGCAGTTCGAGGTGGGGAAGTTTCCGAAAGAGATTCCCGGCTTCGGGTCCCCCGACAACGCATCTCAAATCTGAAAGGGAACCATTTCGAGATGCCTGGATTCTTTGGGAAGATGGGCTGGGAACGGTGCTGCTTTTCTTTTTTCTGAAATAAAGCAAGCTTCAGCCCCATCCAAAAGGGAGGTCCCTGCTCCCTGTTCATTTCGAAAGCACCGTTTCGCTTCATCAGTCGGGATGGTTGTCCACTCAATGGGGAATTCGGACTGTCGCAACCAAACCCGCTGCCAGTGGGCACCTGAACATGAACATTTCGGTGCTTCGAAGATGTTTTGTTTAATCCAACCAAGGCGGCGTAATGCATGATCCCGCATAGGTATGCAGCCCCAGTAACCCCGAAAAGAGCCATGGATTCATATTACTTTTTTGAGGGTCTCTTTTTTGGGGTTTTGAAAAGAAACCACAAGGGCGACCACTTCATTTTATGTTCTTTCTTTTCAGTTCTTTTTTTTGGGGGGAGTGAGTGGGAAGGTTTCCTTGGCCAAGCCTTTTTGAGCAGGTCCTTTCGTGAGGGATGCCCGTCCTGGAGTTGGCGGCAGGCGCGTCGCAAGAGGGCGTCCACCGAGGTGGAAGGCTGCACCGCCAAAGTACAGCTGGCCCCAGAGACCAAAGACACCGACACCTCCACAGGTTTTTCGTTCGTTCGGATTTTCGCTCAGGTCGAGAAGGTTGGTTTGCCAAATCTTTGGTTGATGTTTGGTTGATATCGAAAAACGCAATTTGATGACACGCTGCTTCTTGTGGAGTTGGCACTCACAATAAAAGCGAAGTGAGAGTCAAGGAAAAGCCACTTGTTTTGAGGCTTCCCTCTCAAAACACATCCGGTTCCGTTCCCATCTTCGTGTCAACGTTGCCCTCAACATGGTATTTCGCAATGTTTTGAGACACACCCTGGAAGTTTGTTTGTGGGGCCGTGGAGAGAAAGAGAGGCGCGGACTGGTTGGAAGGCAGGGAACCTTGCGACCGCGAAGTGGCCCCAGTTTCCGGTTGTGGGGTCTTTGCTTGCTTGAACTTCCAGAAGCTGTTTCGTCTTTTCCAGATCTCCTGGTCCCGTTGAATGGCAAGGTGCTTGGGATTCCCTCAAGGAGTGTGATCTTTGGGATACACTTGGACGAAGACCCCCTGTTGAACACACATTGGACAACCAGACTAAACCCCAGGTTGAGCGAAACGGGCTGATAAACCATCAGCTGCCATGGAGGAACCATGATTTTCGGACTTCCTTGATATCTTATCCAGGAAAACCCCCGTGCAAGTGGCAAACAGGGTCGGAGAGATACAAGAACACCAGGCCCCAGCCAGCACTCTTTGGATGGGGAAGCTCATCAAGGCCGAAGCAGGCGACGGTCAGGTGGGGAATGTTCGGACTGGAGGGGTGGGTGAGGGCAGGTGAGGAAGGTGACGGCCCCTTTGCCCTGTTTGAACCTAGGCCCAGAAATGCTTCGGCTTCTTGCAAAGCATTCAAAAGGCGTCGTGTTCCAGGGCCCCGTTCAAGGGGAAGCTCGCCGTTTTGGGGTGCATCTCCTTCAGCGATTTTCAGGCGCTGTGCAGGCAGTGGAGCCTGGCCCGGGCGCAGAGATGGAATCGGCCGAGCGCGCCTTCGAAGCGATGAGTGCGCAAGGCGGATGACATCCGCTTGAAGCCATCAGTGTACAGGGCCGTGTCTATCCGTGTCTTGTTTTGGGGGTCACCCAAAATGGCGTGGTTGTCACTTTACAACCAACCAAAAAGGTGTTCCCCCACAAAGAAACATGCCCGTATGACAATATGGGATATGTGTACTGTATACATGTTGGGTAATCTGCAAAAAGACCCCCAGCAATAAGTCGGGGGTTCTCCCTGGACAGGAATTCGCACTAAAGGCCAGGACCCTTTGATCCTCGTACCCAAAGTTCATAAAACTCAAACTATTCTATGATGCCGCCTCTCGTCCCGTGACTGAGCTTCGCGGGGTAAAGTGGAGGTGCAAAGGACCATTTTCGAGGAAATCCAGATTGGCTGTGCCCAAATCTCGGAGACCTCTTGGTGGCTGGCTGTTCAAAGGGAGAACAAGTTTAAGAGAAACATGTGTCCCTTTTCGGTCGGTCAGAACATGCATGTAAGTCAGGGATCTCTAGAGTTCCTTTTTGGGTTGCTTTAAACCTTTTGGTTGCCAATTTGAAGTTGAGTTTGCTTGAGACATGAACCATTCAGACCTCTGCAGGAGGCACGGGCGACGTGTACATCGCCCACGTGCTGGAGAAGGCCGAGCGCGAACAAGAAGTGATCTTCCTGGGCGCATTCAAGTCTCGAAGAGACGCTGCGAGGGCGCTGGTTGATCGAGCCAAGCACGAATTTGCCCAAGCCATGCAACGCGCATACGAGGACAATTCATATCAGGAACCTACCTTTCTGCTCGAAGGAGACAATTTCTCGTTGCTTGTGGAAGATGCGATGCTACAACAGTTCAAGGTCACCGGGGTTCCACTGGCCTGATTGATTTTTCTGCTGGATCCCTGGCACGGTCTACATAGCGCGCAGGCAGAAGCAGTGGCTTATGATTTGTCCAAGTCTTGTGCCTGCAGCAGTACGACAACATTCAGCAATTGCCTGCTTGACAGCCTTTCAGACTCTTGTCTGCGAGCTGCAAGAGGAGAGGAGCAACGGTCAAGATTTACTGTCATTTGTGGTAAAGGGGATGACACGCTCACCAACACCATTAGGAAAAGTGCGTTGCTCACCAACAGCCCCCGTCAGGTGTTGACATGACAATTCACCGTGGCGCATATTATGCTGCTGCGAGCAGAAGGGAGCAGGCTGTTGCTATGGCCATGCCGAATCGTAGCCAAATCAGCTTTCGGTCTTCACTGAGCAGCTTCTGGCAGTAAGATGCAAATTGCGTTGATAGGTCGTGGCTTCTTCCAATTGCATTCGGCCACGTGGCAGTTGCAGATGTCCTAAAATTTATGGGAGAACATTTCTGGATGGTGTTCGGGGGAAAAGGCAACGAGTTTATGAGATCATCCGTTTCCGATTGCGGCTCAACCCAGCGGGACGACAGCTCTCGCCCTGAAGAGGCAGGCAATCTTGGGCCTCGCCTCTCGCCTGATCATGCCAGCGGACTGCGATGTTCTGAATGTTTAGGTAATCTCATCAGGTTCATGTACGCAACTCCCGGTGGCATGGCAACCCTTGTGTCAGATCCCCCCAAAGTCACCTACCACCCATAGATGCCCAAAAGTTGCAAGACCACAGAAAAGCCTTCCGCACTGCGCTGGCCGTCGGGCCGGACGGCCCCCAAAGCGTAGGCCGTGATGGCGGCTTTGCGCCCGGTTGGGCTTGCGCTGGTGCTCCTGGTGCTGGCCCAGGCGTGCGCCCCCCGTTTTTGGGGGGTGGTTTGGATGGCCGATTTTGCCGCGACTTCTTTGATCAAAGGGTTGTACAGGGAAACAACTGATTTCGTGGAGTTTCCTGGAACGAAACCCTTTGATTTGACCCAGGAGGCACCGTTCGAAGCTTTTCGGGACGACTTGAATAGAATTCCCGACTGTTTTGGTGGGGATTTCCATGGATTTCTTGTTACTGCAGCTAAAAGCGAGCGGGTCTGGGTTTCTTTGTCTTGGAGAAACTGACATGGCAGAAAGAAAACCCGGCAAAACCTTGGCAACTGAAGCTCAGGAGACAGTGCCAATCAGAAGGCTGTCTGCACTTTGAATGCTCGACCGGTTTTGGGCAGATATCAGATTTTGATTCTGACTCGGCTGGAATTCAAGGAAGGACCTAAATGCCCAAATGGTTTTATGGTGCATCGCACTGACAGGTGTGGTACCAAGCGAATCAGCTCTTCGTAGGTTCGCCGCCTCGACCACAGAGGCTGGACAGAAACCAACCCTTAAAACGAAACAAACCATGAGGTACAGCCGGTTGCGTTGAACGGGTCGACCAGTTTTGGTTGGACGGCTATATTGGACGGCGCCCATGCCGGTCCTTGAGTCATTCCTCATTTCCGGCAACTTGGAACAGTTGCGAGATGAGCAACACATTCTATCAGCCTGGATGAGGTTGACACAGTCTTGGAGCAATGCTGGTCTAACGATCGCTTCAGGGCGACTGGGCAAGTGTGTTTCGTGCAAGGCCCAGTTCAGTTGTGCGCTTCGCAGAGGGCGAGGACGCGGCAGCCGAGGACGACGAGGTGCAAACGGTAGGTGTCCTTTACCGCTTTTTGGATGCGTGAAACCGGCAAGCCAACAAAAACATCCCAATTCGCACGGGGACCCAGTTCGAACCATGGGGAAACTATGAAATGCAAGGGAAACCATGAACTGACGAACCCCCATGGACCGCAATGGCTTCGCCTCCAAGCTATGTCCTGAGGGCGAGGTGATCGTGAAGAAGCCTGCCACGCCATGTTTCGTCTCACAGTGTTTGTCCTGTCAAGAGCGAGCTTCGGATTCCGCATCCACGGCTTTTGAGACATGGCCGCCCGCCCGCAGCATTTTTGCCTTAAGACCTCCGTGCTCTTGAGAGTTCCAAGCCACACGGCTGCACTTGGTAGATCCATTTGAGCTTTTTTGAGCAAGGACCAAGCAAGGCCAGAATGGTTTCCCTTTTGGCTTCCCTTTTAACACCACAAAAATGGGGTACGAACTCCAAAAAAAAAGACGCACCCATCCAGGACCGCATCCTGAGGGTTGGCCGCTGTTTTTGCATACCCATCTCACCATGCATGCGCCAGGAGATGTGTACAGCACGGAGCCGCGCAAGTGTGGCCTGCCTGCAAGTGCCCCAATCGGGCCGCAAACTGGGGACAAGAGAAGCTTATCTCAACAGAGCAGTATTCCGCTAGGAGTCGCTAAGGGCACTTTCATACAAGAGAGTCCTCCCTGTTTCTCAATAAACATTGTCTCAGGGAACCCTTCAAAACGGGGAGCGCTTCCCTTCACGTCTTCAGGGGATATGAACAACGGAACCCGTGGCCACTGACTCGATGTTCTGTAGGTTGGGAAGTCCCACTTGCCACGCCTGCTGCTCGGACTGGAAGTTGGCTTGGCTGGTGAGGCGCTTTGAGTATGGCTCCGTTTTGGCTTTCCAAAAAAATCTTGCAACTCCTGCGGTGGCCCCGGTATTTCGAACAGAGGCCTCCCGAAACCTGTTTCTAGGGGCAGGCGAGTCTGGATCTCAAGATTTCGAGGCGAACTGGGGGGAGAGAGAGAGGCGAGAGGTCCTTAGTTTCTGACATAGACACCCACACACTGACACAAAACACACAGAAAGCACGCAGACGCACAACCAC